GGATAACTGCACTCAATGAGGATGAAGCACACAGCACTGCTAATCTATGTGTTCACTCCACACGGTGCCAGAGCTTCTCCTGAATCACTTTCTCGTTGTTTTAAGTCTCAGGATTCTTTTATATCATGAAAATAAAATATTTTTTATCCAGTATTGTGTTTGTGATTCTGTTGCAAGCTGTGGGGTGGGGGGTGATTGGTACGTAAGATTGCTGCTCCTCCAAAGGAGACAAGGCCGTCCTATTCAAGGAAAACCAGCAGTGGGGCCAGAGACTACAAAAAGGTTTATGTTAATACCGCACTGGTCAACACAGCTCTTGTTACACGCTGTATTGACGTATTACAGTTTGACATTATTGTGCTATTAGGGAGCCGTGCTGATACAGGGAAGAGAGACCGCTCCATACAATGCTTTATATTTTACTAGACACCAGGGTTTTTATGTTACCAAAGTTGACCAACCGCTAGCACTGATTTCATGAAACTATTTTGGGCAGGAGTTTAAGCTTGCGTGGGATAGGCATAAGGCTATCCTAGACTTAAGATAAGGCCAGGGACTAATTTGTAAAGTATTTCAAAAATTGGGCAGACTAGATGGGCCGAATGGTTCTTATCTGCTGTCACATTCTATGTTTCTATGTGTGGGGGGGACAACTATACTGCTATAATCACTGCGATACCCTCTTGGAGGAGAGGTCTTTCCACTGGGAGCCAAGCTGTGGCGGCAAAAGGAGGCTACAGTGCTTATGGTACTTGTTGATACTAGGAAGCATGATTGACGGAGGTACCCAGTCGGGGGGGTGCCAGGTGGTCTGCCACAGTATCATACTAATATCATAACTTTGGGAGGTTTTAGGGTCAATGACAATAGGGAGTCATGTCAGCCAGGTGTGTGTATTGCAAACTGCCGTTTTGGTCCCAAATACAGATATTTATCAAGCCAAAAGACACACCACAAAAAATTGCCCTCTAATATACACTATATGGCCAAAAGTATGTGGACACCTCAGCCATTCCTAACAGGTGTAGACAATCGAGCATAAACTCGTGATGTAAGGCACCTTGACCCAAGACTCAAGCTACAGATGACCGGATGTCCAGTCTGTTTTTACTTTCATGTTATGCTTTGAATTTTTAGTCTAGTTTCAGTGTCTGACAAGTAAGCATAAATTCATGGCTTTTGACATTCTGAAGAGACGATTGCAGCTTTACCCTCAGCTCTCCTCCTTATGTTTTATTTTTTTTTATTTTTTATTTTTTATGTATAACCATTGAAATATGCTCAGTTCTGTAAATTCCTTTTATGGTACAAAGTGCCTTCAAGCACCCTGTTTTTTGTCACGCAAGGCTCAAAGCTATATAAACTGTAAACTCTGATTAAAAAGAGGAAGTAATCTTTTGAATCACAGGTGTCTGATTTGATTGCTTCACCGAGTGCGCTCGAAGTATCAAATATGGTTTCCCATGAACATATCTCTGAGTAACTTTTTATCTGGCAGTACAATGGGTTGTACGAAGAGCTTGGTGACATTAAATGTGGCAGTCATAGAATGCCACCATTGCCATAAATCAGTTTGTGAAATGTCTGCCCTGGTCAGGTGTAAAGTGTTATCATTGTGAAGGAACTCTATGAGCAACAACCGCCCAGCCATGAAGTGGCAGCCCATGCGTACTCATAGATTGGGTGCGCCGAGTGCTGAAGAAGTGTGTAAAAACCACCTATTCTTTGTTGTACAACTCGCTACAGAGCTCCAAATTGACTCTGGAAGCAATATCCGCACAAACACTGTGTATTGGAAGTTTCATGAAATAGGTTTCAGTGGGCGACACATCAACATGTGCAATGCCATGTGTCGTCTGAGTGATGTAAAGCACGCCGTCACTGGACTCTGTGTGATGTACAGCACGCCGGCACTGGACTATGATGTAAAGCACGCCAACACTGGACTCTGTGTGATGTAAAGCACACCGTCACTGGACTCTGATGTAAATCACGCCGCCACTGGACTCTGTGTGATGTAAATCACACCGTCACTGGACTCTGGAGTGATGTAAAGCACGCCGTCACTGGACTCTGTTGTAAAACACGCCGGTACTGGACTCTGATGTAAAGCACGCTGTCACTGGACTCTGGAGTGATGTAAAGCATGCCGTCACTGGACTCTGGAGTGATGTAAAGCACGCCACCACTGGACTCTGTGTGATGTACAGCACGCCGGCACTGGACTCTGATGTAAAGCACGCCAACACTGGACTCTGTGTGATGTAAAGCACGCCAACACTGGACTCTGATGTAAAGCACGCCGTCACTGGACTCTGGAGTGATGTAAAGCACGCCGTCACTGGACTCTGTGTGATGTACAGCACGCCGGCACTGGACTCTGATGTAAAGCACGCCAACACTGGACTCTGTGTGATGTAAAGCACGCCGTCACTGGACTCTGGAGTGATGTAAAGCATGCCGTCACTGGACTCTGGAGTGATGTAAAGCACGCCGTCACTGGACTCTGTGTGATGTACAGCACGCCGGCACTGGACTCTGATGTAAAGCACGCCAACACTGGACTCTGTGTGATGTAAAGCACACCGTCACTGGACTCTGATGTAAATCACGCCGCCACTGGACTCTGTGTGATGTAAATCACGCCGCCACTGGACTCTGATGTAAATCACGCCGCCACTGGACTCTGTGTGATGTAAATCACACCGTCACTGGACTCTGGAGTGATGTAAAGCACGCCGTCACTGGACTCTGTGTGATGTACAGCACGCCGGCACTGGACTCTGATGTAAAGCACGCCGCCACTGGACTCTGTGTGATGTACAGCACGCCGGCACTGGACTCTGATGTAAAGCACGCTGTCACTGGACTCTGGAGTGATGTAAAGCATGCCTCCACTGGACTCTGTGTGATGTACAGCACGCCGGCACTGGACTCTGATGTAAAGCACGCCAACACTGGACTCTGTGTGATGTAAAGCACGCCGTCACTGGACTCTGGAGTGATGTAAAGCATGCCGTCACTGGACTCTGGAGTGATGTAAAGCACGCCGTCACTGGACTCTGAGTGATGTACAGCACGCCGGCACTGGACTCTGATGTAAAGCACGCCAACACTGGACTCTGTGTGATGTAAAGCACACCGTCACTGGACTCTGATGTAAAGCATGCCGTCACTGGACTCTGTGTGATGTAAAGCACACCGTCACTGGACTCTGATGTAAAGCACGCCGCCACTGGACTCTGTGTGATGTAAAGCACACAGTCACTGGACTCTGATGTAAAGCATGCCGTCACTGGACTCTGTGTGATGTAAAGCACGCCGTCACTGGACTCTGATGTAAAGCACGCCGCCACTGGACTCTGTGTGATGTAAAGCACGCCGTCACTGGACTCTCAGTGATGTAAAGCACGCCGCCACTGGACTCTGAGGGATGTAAAGCACGCCGTCACTGGACTCTCAGTGATGTAAAGCATGCTGTCACTGGACTCTGAGGGATGTAAAGCGCGCCGCCACTGGACTCTGGGTGACGTAAAGCACGCCGTCACTGGACTCTGGGTGACGTAAAGCACGCCGTCACTGGACTCTGGGTGACGTAAAGCACGCCGTCACTGGACTCTGGGTGACGTAAAGCACGCCGTCACTGGACTCTGTGTGATCTAACGCACGCCGTCACTGGACTCTGAGTGATTTAAAGCACGTCGCCACTGGACTCTGAGTGATGGGCAGATTCTCAGGGTGAATCAGCAGATTCTCAAGAGTGAATGGAGGGATTCTCAGGGTGAATGGGCAGATTCTCAGGGTGAATGGGCAGATTCTCAGGGTGAATGGGCAGATTCTCAAAGGTGAATGGGCAGATTCTCAAAGGTGAATGGGCAGATTCTTAGGGTGAATGGACAGATTCTTAGGGTGAATGGGCAGATTCTTAGGGTGAATGGGCAGATTCCTCATTGTTAATGGGCAGAATTTGCAGATTCTCGGGGTGAATGGGCAGTTTCTCAGGGTGAATCAGCAGATTCTCAAGAGTGAATGGGCAGATTCTCAGGGTGAATGGGTAGATTCTCAAGAGTGAATGGGCAGATTCTCAGGGTGAATGGGCAGATTCCTCATTGTTAATGGGAAGATTCTTAGGGTGAATGGGCAGATTCTCAGGGTAAAAGGAGAGATTCTCAGGCTAAATGGACGGATTCTCAAAAGTGAATGGGCAGATTCTCAGGGTGAATGGGCAGATTCTCAGTGAATGGGCAGATTCCTCATTGTTAATGGGAAGATTCTCAGGCTAAATGGACGGATTCTCAAAAGTGAATGAGCAGATTCTCAAGAGTGAATGGGCAGATTCTCAAGAGTGAATGGGCAGATTTTCAGAGTGAATGGAGGGATTCTCAGGGTGAATGGGAAGATTCTCAGGGTGAATGGGCAGATTCTCAGGGTGAATGGACAGATTCTTAGGGTGAATGGGCAGATTCCTCATTGTTAATGGGCAGAATTTGCAGATTCTCGGGGTGAATGTACAGATTCTCGGGGTGAATGGGTAGATTCTCTGGGTGAATGGGTAGATTCCCGGGGTGAATGGGTAGATTCCCGGGGTGAATGGACAGATTCTCTGGGTGAATGGACAGATTCTCGGGGTGAATGGGTAGATTCCCGGGGTGAATGTACAGATTCTCGGGGTGAATGGGTAGATTCTCTGGGTGAATGGGTAGATTCCCGGGGTGAATGGACAGATTCTCTGGGTGAATGGACAGACTTTCGGGGTGAATGGGTAGATTCCCGGGGTGAATGGACAGATTCTCGGGGTGAATGGTCAGGTTATCGGGGTGAATCGGAATACTATCTGTTAAATAGGTCACTACTCTTGGCTAAAATCTGTAAATTGCAGTTTTCGCCTGGCTGAGCAAGTTACCAATTTTAATAAAAGAGGCCAGAGGGGAGGGGGGTAGTGACTGGTCAGGGTGAGTGTGCATATTACCTCTCTGAATGGAGTGTGGGTGTGAGTGACACTCCCATCATTCAGACTGCCTTTAATCCTGCACACAGACAGACTGAGAGCATCAGGTATTTACTAAAAACTAAGTGTATATTCACTGACAGAATGTGAGTCTGTCTGAGAGACTGCCTGAGACTGTGGGAGACTGCCTGAGACTGTGAGAGAGGAGCTGAGAGTGTCAGAGACTGCCTGAGAGTGTGAGAGACTGCCTGAGAGTGTGAGAGAGGAGCTGGGAGTGTGAGAGAGGAGCTGGGAGTGTGAGAGACTGCCTGAGAGTGTGAGAGAGGAGCTGGGAGTGTGAGAGACTGCCTGAGAGTGTGAGAGAGGAGCTGAGAGTGTGAGAGAGGAGCTGAGAGTGTGAGAGACTGCCTGAGAGTGTGAGAGACTGCCTGAGAGTGTGAGAGACTGCCTGAGAGTGTGAGAGACTGCCTGAGAGTGTGAGAGAGGAGCTGAGAGTGTGAGAGACTGCCTGAGAGTGTGAGAGAGGAGCTGAGAGTGTGAGAGACTCTGAGACTGTGAGTGAGTGTGAGAGACTGCCTGAGACTGCCTGGGAGTGTGAGAGACTGCATGTGAGTGTGAGAGGAGCTGATAGACTGAGAGTGACAGGGATACTGATAGACTGAGAGTGTGTCAGGGAGTCTGAGAGACTGTCTGAGAGTGTCAGGGATACTGAGAGACTGTATGAGAGTGTCAGGGAGACTGAGAGACTGTCTGAGAGTGTCAGGGATACTGACAGACTGTCAGGGATACTGAGAGACTGTCTGAGAGTGTGTCAGGGAGACTGAGAGACTGTCTGAGAGTGTCAGGGATACTGAGAGTCTGTCTGAGAGTGTCAGGGATACTGAGAGTCTGTCTGAGAGTATGTCAGGGATACTGAGAGTCTGTCTGAGAGAGTGTCAGGGATACTGAGAGTCTGTCTGAGAGAGTGTCAGGGAGACTGAGAGACTGTCTGAGAGAGTGTCAGGGAGACTGAGAGACTGTCTGAGAGTGTCAGGGAGACTGAGAGACTGTCTGAGAGTGTCAGGGATACTGAGAGACTGTCTGAGAGTCTGTCAGGGATACTGAGAGACTCTGAGAGTGTCAGGGATACTGAGAGACTGTCTGAGAGAGTGTCAGGGATACTGAGAGACTGTCTGAGTGTGTCAGGGAGACTGAGAGACTGTCTGAGAGTGTCAGGGATACTGAGAGACTGTCTGAGAGTGTCAGGGATACTGAGAGACTGTCTGAGAGTGTCAGGGATACTGAGAGACTGTCTGAGAGAGTGTCAGGGATACTGAGAGACTGTCTGAGAGTGTGTCAGGGATACTGAGAGACTGTCTGAGAGTGTGTCAGTGATACTGAGAGACTGTCTGAGAGAGTGTCAGGGATACTGAGAGACTGTCTGAGAGTGTCAGGGATACTGAGAGACTGAGAGTGTCTGGGATACTGAGAGACTGTCTGAGAGTGTCAGGGATACTGAGAGACTGACTGAGAGTGTCAGGGATACTGAGAGACAGTGTGTCAGGGATACTGAGAGACTGTCAGGGAGACTGAGAGACTGTCTGAGAGAGTGTCAGGGATACTGAGAGACTGTGAGAGTGTTTCAGGGATACTGGGAGACTGTATGAGAGTGTCAGGGATACTGAGAGAGTGTCAGGGATACTGAGAGACTGTCTGAGAGAGTGTCAGGGATACTGAGAGTGTCAGGGATACTGAGAAACTGTCTGAGAGTGTCAGGGATACTGAGAGACTGTCTGAGAGTGTCAGGGATACTGCGAGACTGTCTGAGAGTGTCAGGGATACCGCGAGACTGTCTGAGAGTGTCAGGGATACTGAGAGACTGTCTGAGAGTGTGTCAGGGATACTGAGAGTGTGTCAGGGATACTGAGAGACTGTCTGAGAGTGTGTCAGGGATACTGAGAGAGTGTCAGGGATACTGAGAGACTGTCTGAGAGTGTGTCAGGGATACTGAGAGATGGTCTGAGAGTGTCAGGGATACTGAGAGACGGTCTGAGAGTGTCAGGGATGCTGAGAGACTGTCTGAGAGGGTGTCAGGGATACCGAGAGACTGTCTGAGAGTGTCAGGGATACTGAGAGACTGTCTGAGAGTGTGTCAGGGATACTGAGAGAATGTCTCTGAGAGTGTGTCAGGGATACTGAGAGACTGTCTGAGAGTGTGTCAGGGATACTGAGAGATGGTCTGAGAGTGTCAGGGATACTGAGAGACGGTCTGAGAGTGTCAGGGATGCTGAGAGACTGTCTGAGTGTGTCAGGGATGCTGAGAGACGGTCTGAGTGTGTCAGGGATGCTGAGAGACGGTCTGAGAGTGTGTCAGGGATACTGAGAGATGGTCTGAGAGTGTCAGGGATACTGAGAGATGGTCTGAGAGTGTCAGGGATGCTGAGAGACGGTCTGAGAGTGTCAGGGATACTGCGAGACTGTCTGAGAGTGTGTCAGGGCTACTGAGAGACTGAGAGTGTCAGGGATACTGAGAGACAGAGTGTCAGGGATACTCAAAGACTGAGAGTGTCAGAGAGACTGTCTGAGAGTGTCAGGGTTACTGAGAGACTGTCTGAGAGTGTGTCAGGGCTACTGAGAGACTGTCTGAGAGTGTCAGGGATACTGAGAGACTGTCTGAGAGAGTGTCAGGGATACTGAGAGACCCTCTGAGAGTGTGTCAGGGATACTGAGAGACCGACTGAGAGTGTGTCAGGGATACTGAGAGACGGTCTGAGAGTGTCAGGGATACTGAGAGACTGTCTAAGAGAGTGTCATGGATACTGAGAGACGTCTGATAGTGTCAGACACTCTCAAAGACATTCTGAGAGTGTCAGGGATACTGAGAGACTGTCTGAGAGTGTGAGGGATACTGAGAGACTGTCTGAGAGTTTGTCAGGGTTACTGAGAGACTGAGAGTGTCAGGGATACTGAGAGTGTCAGGGATACTGAGAGACTGAGAGTGTCAGGGATACTGAGAGACTGACTGAGAGTGTGTCAGGGATACTGAGAGACTGACTGAGAGTGTGTCAGGGATACTGAGAGACTGACTGAGAGTGTGTCAGGGATACTGAGAGACGGTCTGAGAGTGTCAGGGATACTGAGAGACTGTTTGAGAGTGTCAGGGATACTGAGAGACGTCTGAGAGTGTGTCAGGGATACTGAGAGACTGTCTGAGAGTGTCAGGGATACTGAGAGACGGTCTGAATGTGTGTCAGGGATACTGAGAGACTGTCTGAGAGAGTGTCAGGGATACTGAGAGTGTGTCAGGGATACTGAGAGACTGTCTGAGAGAGTGTCAGGGATACTGAGAGACTGAGAGTGTCAGGGATACTGAGAAACTGTCTGAGAGTTTCAGGGATACTGCGAGACTGTCTGAGAGTGTGTCAGGGATACTGAAAGACTGTCTGAGAGTGTCAGGGATACTGAGAGACTGTCTGAGAGTGTGTCAGGGATACTGAGAGACTGTCTGAGAGTGTAAGGGATGCTGAGAGACGGTCTGAGTGTGTCAGGGTTACTGAGAGACTGTCTGAGAGTGTGCCAGGGATGCTGAGAGACTGAGAGTGTCAGGGATACTGAGAGACTGTCTGAGAGTGTGTCAGGGATACTGAGAGACTGTCTGAGAGTGTCAGGGATACTGAGAGACTGTCTGAGAGTGTGAGGGATACTCAGACACTGTCTGAGAGTGTGTCAGGGATGAGAGACTGAGAGATACTGAGAGACTGTCTGAGAGTGTCAGGGATACTGAGAGACTGACTGAGAGTGTCAGGGATACTGAGAGACAGTGTGTCAGGGATACTGAGAGACTGTCAGGGAGACTGAGAGACTGTCTGAGAGAGTGTCAGGGATACTGAGAGACTGTGAGAGTGTTTCAGGGATACTGGGAGACTGTATGAGAGTGTCAGGGATACTGAGAGAGTGTCAGGGATACTGAGAGACTGTCTGAGAGAGTGTCAGGGATACTGAGAGTGTCAGGGATACTGAGAAACTGTCTGAGAGTGTCAGGGATACTGAGAGACTGTCTGAGAGTGTCAGGGATACTGCGAGACTGTCTGAGAGTGTCAGGGATACCGCGAGACTGTCTGAGAGTGTCAGGGATACTGAGAGACTGTCTGAGAGTGTGTCAGGGATACTGAGAGTGTGTCAGGGATACTGAGAGACTGTCTGAGAGTGTGTCAGGGATACTGAGAGAGTGTCAGGGATACTGAGAGACTGTCTGAGAGTGTGTCAGGGATACTGAGAGATGGTCTGAGAGTGTCAGGGATACTGAGAGACGGTCTGAGAGTGTCAGGGGATACTGCGAGACTGTCTGAGAGTGTCAGGGATACCGCGAGACTGTCTGAGAGTGTCAGGGATACTGAGAGACTGTCTGAGAGTGTGTCAGGGATACTGAGAGTGTGTCAGGGATACTGAGAGACTGTCTGAGAGTGTGTCAGGGATACTGAGAGAGTGTCAGGGATACTGAGAGACTGTCTGAGAGTGTGTCAGGGATACTGAGAGATGGTCTGAGAGTGTCAGGGATACTGAGAGACGGTCTGAGAGTGTCAGGGATGCTGAGAGACTGTCTGAGAGGGTGTCAGGGATACCGAGAGACTGTCTGAGAGTGTCAGGGATACTGAGAGACTGTGTCAGGGATACTGAGAGACTGTCTGAGAGTGTGTCAGGGATACTGAGAGAGTGTCAGGGATACTGAGAGACTGTCTGAGAGTGTGTCAGGGATACTGAGAGATGGTCTGAGAGTGTCAGGGATACTGAGAGACGGTCTGAGAGTGTCAGGGGTGCTGAGAGACTGAATGTGTCAGGGATGCTGAGAGACGGTCTGAGTGTGTCAGGGATGCTGAGAGACGGTCTGAGTGTGTCAGGGATGCTGAGAGACTGTCTGAGAGTGTGTCAGGGATGCTGAGAGACTGTCTGACAGTGTGTCAGGGATACTGAGAGATGGTCTGAGAGTGTCAGGGATACTGAGAGATGGTCTGAGAGTGTCAGGGATGCTGAGAGACGGTCTGAGAGTGTCAGGGATGCTGAGAGACGGTCTGAGAGTGTCAGGGATACTGCGAGACTGTCTGAGAGAGTGTCAGGGATACTGCGAGACTGTCTGAGAGAGTGTCAGGGATACTGAGAGTGTCAGGGATACTGAGAAACTGTCTGAGAGTGTGTCAGGGCTACTGAGAGACTGAGTGTCAGGGATACTGAGAGACAGAGTGTCAGGGATACTCAAAGACTGAGAGTGTCAGAGAGACTGTCTGAGAGTGTCAGGGTTACTGAGAGACTGTCTGAGAGTGTGTCAGGGCTACTGAGAGACTGTCTGAGAGTGTCAGGGATACTGAGAGACTGTCTGAGAGTGTGTCAGGTATACTGAGACCGTCTGAGAGTGTCAGGGATTGAGAGATCTGTCTGAGATGTCAGGGATACCGAGAGACTGTCTGAGAGAGTGTCAGGGGATACTGAGAGACCCTCTGAGAGTAAAAGTCAGGGATACTCGAGAGACTGGACTGAGAGTGTGTCAGGGATACTGAGAGACGGTCTGAGAGTGTCAGGGATACTGAGAGACTGTCTAAGAGAGTGTCATGGATACTGAGAGACGTCTGATAGTGTCAGACACTCTGAAAGACATTCTGAGAGTGTCAGGGATACTGAGAGACTGTCTGAGAGTGTGAGGGATACTGAGAGACTGTCTGAGAGTTTGTCAGGGTTACTGAGAGACTGAGAGTGTCAGGGATACTGAGAGTGTCAGGGATACTGAGAGACTGAGAGTGTCAGGGATACTGAGAGACTGACTGAGAGTGTGTCAGGGATACTGAGAGACTGACTGAGAGTGTGTCAGGGATACTGAGAGACGGTCTGAGAGTGTCAGGGATACTGAGAGACTGTTTGAGAGTGTCAGGGATACTGAGAGACGTCTGAGAGTGTGTCAGGGATACTGAGAGACTGTCTGAGAGTGTCAGGGATACTGAGAGACGGTCTGAATGTGTGTCAGGGATACTGAGAGACTGTCTGAGAGAGTGTCAGGGATACTGAGAGTGTGTCAGGGATACTGAGAGACTGTCTGAGAGAGTGTCAGGGATACTGAGAGACTGAGAGTGTCAGGGATACTGAGAAACTGTCTGAGAGTGTGCCAGGGATGCTGAGAGACTGAGAGTGTCAGGGATACTGAGAGACTGTCTGAGAGTGTGTCAGGGATACTGAGAGACTGTCTGAGAGTATGTCAGGGATACTGAGAGACGGTCTGAGAGTGTCAGGGATACTGAGAGACGTCTGAGAGTGCGTCAGGGATACTGAGAGACTGACTGCGTGTGTGTCAGGGATACTGAGAGACTGTCTGAGAGTGTCAGGGATACTGAGAGACTGTCTGAGAGTGTCAGGGATATTGAGAGACTGTCTGAGCGATTGTCAGGGATACTGAGAGACTGTCTCAGAGTGTCAGGGATACTCAAAGAATGAGTGTGTCAGGGATACTGAGAGACTGAGAGTGTCAGGGATACTGAGAGACTGACTGAGAGTGTGTCAGGGATACTGAGAGACTGTCTGAGAGAGTGTCAGGGATACTGAGAGACTCTGAGAGTATGTCAGGGATACTGAGAGACGGTGTGAGAGTGTCAGGGATACTGAGAGACATCTGAGAGTGCGTCATGGATACTGAGAGACTGTCTGAGAGTGTCAGGGATACTGAGAGACTGTCTGGGAGTGTGTCAGGGATACTGAGAGACTGTCTGAGAGAGTGTCAGGGATACTGAGAGACTGTCTGAGAGAGTGTCAGGGATACTGAGAGACTGTCAGGGATACTGAGAGACTGTCTGAGAGTATGTCAGGGATACTGAGAGACGGTCTGAGAGTGTCAGGGATACTGAGAGACGTCTGAGAGTGCGTCAGGGATACTGAGAGACTGACTGCGTGTGTGTCAGGGATACTGAGAGACTGTCTGAGAGTGTCAGGGATACTGAGAGACTGTCTGAGAGTGTCAGGGATATTGAGAGACTGTCTGAGCGATTGTCAGGGATACTGAGAGACTGTCTCAGAGTGTCAGGGATACTCAAAGAATGAGTGTGTCAGGGATACTGAGAGACTGACTGAGAGTGTGTCAGGAATACTGAGAGACTGACTGAGAGTGTGTCAGGGATACTGAGAGACTGTCTGAGAGAGTGTCAGGGATACTGAGAGACTCTGAGAGTATGTCAGGGATACTGAGAGACGGTGTGAGAGTGTCAGGGATACTGAGAGACGTCTGAGAGTGCGTCGTGGATACTGAGAGACTGTCTGAGAGTGTCAGGGATACTGAGAGACTGTCTGGGAGTGTGTCAGGGATACTGAGAGACTGAGAGTGTCAGGGATACTGAGAGACTGTCTGAGAGAGTGTCAGGGATACTGAGAGACTGACTGAGAGTGTGTCAGGGATACTGAGAGACTGTCTGAGAGAGTGTCAGGGATACTGAGAGACTGTCTGAGAGTGTCAGGGATACTGAGAGACTCTGAGAGTATGTCAGGGATGCTGAGAGACAGTGTGAGAGTGTCAGGGATACTGAGAGACGTCTGAGAGTGCGTCATGGATACTGAGAGACTGTCTGAGAGTGTCAGGGATACTGAGAGACTGTCTGAGAGTGTGTCAGGGATACTGAGAGAATGTCTGAGAGTTTGTCAGGGATGCTGAGAGACTGTCTGAGAGTGTGTCAGGGATGCTGAGAGACGGTCTGAGAGTGTGTCAGGGATACTGAGAGACGGTCTGAGAGAGTGTCAGGGATACTAATAGTCAGTCTGAGAGAGTGTCAGGGATACTGAGAGACTGTCTGAGAGTATGTCAGGGATACTGAGAGACTGTCTGAGAGAGTGTCAGGGATACTGAGAGACGGTCTAAGAGAGTGTCAGTGATACTGATAGTCGGTCTGAGAGTGTGTCAGGGATACTGAGAGACTGTCTAAGAGAGTGTCAGGGATACTGAGAGACTGTCTAAGAGAGTGTCAGGGATACTGAGAGACTGTCTAAGAGAGTGTCAGGGATACTGAGAGACGGTCTGAGAGTGTGTCAGGAATACTGAGAGACGTCTGACAGTGTCAGGGATACTGAGAGACTGTCTGAGAGACTGTCAGGGATACTGAGAGACTGTCTGAGAGAGTGTCAGGGATACTGAGAGACGGTCTAAGAGAGTGTCAGGGATACTGAGAGACTGTCTGAGAGTGTGTCAGGGATACTGAAAGACTGTCTGAGAGTGTGTCAGGGATACTGATAGTCGGTCTGAGAGTGTGTCAGGGATACTGAGAGACGGTCTAAGAGAGTGTCAGGGATACTGAGAGACTGTCTGAGAGAGTGTCAGGGATACTGAGAGACCCTCTGAGAGTGTGTCAGGGATACTGAGAGACGTCTGATAGTGTCAGGGATACTCAAAGACATTCTGAGAGTGTCAGGGATACTGAGAGACTGACTGAGAGTGTGTCAGGGATGCTGAGAGACTGTCTGAGAGTGTCAGGGATACTGAGAGACTGTCTGAGAGTGTCAGGGATGCTGAGAGACGGTCTGAGAGTGTCAGGGATACTGAGAGACTCTCTTTGGGATGCCAGGAACAGTGAATTACTCTTATATTTTCTAATTTTAGATTTAGTATCCGTAACTGGATCCTTACAATCACCGGATTCCTAATATTCTTAACTGGTTCTTTACAATCACCGGATTCTTAATATCAGTAACTGGATTTTTACAATCACCGGATTCTTAATATCTGTAACTGGAACAATCACCGGATTCTTAATATCTGTAACTGGAACAATCACCGCATTCTTAATATCCGTAACTGGATCTTTACAATCACCGCACTCTTAATATCTGTAACTGGAACAATCACCGGATTCTTAATATCCGTAACTGGAACAATCACCGCATTCTTAATATCCGTAACTGGATCTTTACAATCACCGCATTCTTAATATCTGTAACTGGAACAATTACCGGATTCTTAATATCAGTAACTGGATTTTTACAATCACCGGATTCTTAATATCAGTAACTGGATTTTTACAATCACCGGATTATTAATATCTGTAACTGGATTTTTACAATCACCGGAATCTTAATCTTGGATATCAGTATCTAAATCCTATACATCACCAGGTCCCAGATCCAAGTGATCACCTGACTCTATTTATTAGAAAGTATTAGTCTTTCTTCAGATCTTCCAGAGGACAGACACCAGAAGAGCTTTGGACCTTAGTGGGTCATGGCTTTAATTATTCACCTTCTTTCATGCCTTCTAGGCCTAGGCTCGTGGGTTGCTATCAATGGTGTTTGGGTGGAGCTACCATTATTGGTACCATATGCACCAGAGGGCTGGGAGCTGCCCTCGTACCTTACCCTCCTTATTCAGTTTGCAAACATTGGACCCCTGGTGGTTACACTTATACACAAGTTCCGCCCTGGGTATCTTCGTGAAGCGCCAATTATCTTTGTCCTTCTAGGGGTGGGTGTGTTGGCATGCCTACTCTTGGCTTTCCTGTGGCAAAAAACCAGCTTGGTTGGGGGAACACACCGAAGCACTGCGCTGCTAGTTCTTATCTTCTGTCTCTCACTGGTGGATTGTACTTCATCTGTTACCTTCCTGCCCTTCATGACTCGTCTCAGACCTGATTATCTCACCTCCTATTTCATTGGTGAGGGACTGAGTGGCCTCATGCCAGCTCTGCTAGCCTTAGTCCAGGGTGTGGGTATGGTGATCTGTATGCCAGTCAACAATACAGAAATTAATGGGACACAATTAAATAGGAATTTAACTGCTCTTTACCAGTCGGCACGATTTCCTGTCTGGGGTTTCTTTCTATTTTTGACTGGAATGATGGCTACCTGTATGATTGCCTTCACCATATTGAACATGACGCCCATAGATCAGTGTCAGGGGGATCATGGAGAGACCATGGGAAGGAGACAAATAGATCAAGGATCTGGGTCATGGGGTAGGGGTGTGGAGCAGCGGCCGATGATGGGGGATGATGAGTTTGTGGTGAAGACAGCTAGACGATGGAAGGGATTGGGTCGGTATTCATGGGGCCAGGTACTCTTCATCTTTTTAGTCTTGACTTGGGTCAATGGCTTGACCAATGCAGTCCTACCAGCCGTGCAGACCTATTCCTGTATGCCCTACGGAACTCAGATCTACCACCTGGCAGCTGCCCTTGCTGCCATGGCAAACCCGCTGGCATGCGGCATTGCTATGTTTCTACCCAACAGGTGAGTGGAAGTAGGCATATTGTTCCTATTTTGTCTGATTGCAGAGAATTTGATGAATGCTTCTTAAATGTGTATATCAAGCATGTAGGCTTTACTGTCATGTTGTACTCTTTCTCTGCCACTAGATGGTGATATCTAACTAATTATAGAGGTGCCAAACTTTCAAAGAATCGTATAGTCTTTGATAGGAGACATTATTGTGCCGTACATTAATATATATATAGTATGGCATGCAGCCCAATAACTCCATGATTCCCCACAGTCTCAGTTTCAGGATCCGTCCTGGGTTTGTTTCCTGGTGTCTCATATCTTTGAAAACTTATCTGCTCAATACTGTATTGGTTTTCATTTTTAATCTGGAGTTTTTTTAGATTTTTATGAATGGTTTTTGATATTTTTTTTTTTTTTTAATGTATTTGTGGAATCGTCTTCATCATGTATCCTGAATACAATAAAATGTAAAATGTAGGAAGTCAGATCTGTCACCGAGCAGCAGATCCTCTGTTATAGCACAGAGAGGGGAATAAATAGTAGACAATTTATTAAATACTTAGCCAGGAAAAGAAAATTACGGTAAGTTACATGGCAGCATCACTTATCGGCAAAGTTCCTCCCCAGCTGTCAGGACAGGAATAATTAATTGATTAAAGGGACACTATAGTCACCCAGACCACTTCAGCTCAGTCAGGTTTTAACCCTTCAGATGCAAACATAGCAGTTTCAGAGAAACTGCTATGTTTACTTTTGGGGTTAATCCAGCCTCTAGTGGCTGTCTTTCCTATGGACACTTTGAATGCGCTTGCCGCGCATTCGGCTCCTCTGACGTCAGACGGGGGAGGAGAGGTCACCAGCGCAGAGGCAGCACGGCGCTGGATTAAGGCAAGCTGCTCAAGTGGTTTTAACCCCTTCAGTGCCACGGGAGGGGGACCCTGAGGGTGGGAGCACCGCTTTGTTTTCCTGACATTATAGTGATCCTTTAAGCAATAATCTAAGAGGGAGGGGAAATAATGACAATATGCCAAAAACTGCTTAGAAATGTATTTGCTTAAGGCGACAAAAGCCAATACACTACATCCAAAATGAACAGATGCTGAAGCCAAGTCAAACTTTTAATGCTAGATGAATGTCAAATGGGATGACCAGGAAGCTGCCTTACATATGCTTTCCATTGACACCTCTGCCATAGAAGCCCAGAAGGTAGCGATGCTCTTTGTGGAATGAGCCTTGATCTTAATGGGAGCTTGTTGTCCTTGCGTTGTATAAGCCTTCATAATTGCCACTGCTATCCATCTCCTTAGGGTAGCTGTGACGAACTGGATCTCGTCACGGGTCCTTGGAGGGGCATACTTGCCAGCCTCTTACCCTGTGACTATGGTCCCTGTGTTAAACCCTATTTGAAAACACTATTTGTGCCTGTTGGGACTGGTAATAGGAACCATTCGAACTTTCGAAGTCACACTTCGAACTACCGAAGCCATTCGAAGTGCCATTCTTAAGCCGCAAGTACGATGAGCGGTGTTTGGAACTCAAATCGGACACTCGACGGCGCGAACACCGCTAAACTTTACCTTCCATGGATCTTCGGCTATTCGAACAGCGTTCGATAATAAGAAACTCATGAACAAGAGACATATACTGACTGTATCAACGAACGGCTATGTTCGATATTTTGAACTGTACTTCAAATCCCCGAAGTAGACCGACCGCACAGCCTGACTCTCTGGAACTGTTTTGGGCATGGGACCATGTGTGCGGTCGGACAAAATGCGACTTCCATAGAATTCTTGAACCCCTGAACTGATCTTGGTGATTTTTGGATATGTTGGTCACCCAGATCAGGGCCATCAGTGGGGTGTAACAATTGTGGGGATATGTGTTTTTTGGGGTACTTTTTGGGTTTTGGAAAATGTGTTTTTTCTGCCTGGAGATATTTGAATTGGTACAGTATCTGACTAAATTATCTCCCAGGCAGACGGGTGGGATTGTATGTTTATGGAGTGTCATGCATTTATTCACTATTCTTATTGGTTTGTAAGTTTGTGTCCTTGTCCCCAGCAAGGTCCATGTGGGCGGACACCTTGCTTGGGGACTTGCATAAAAGGTCAGTGTGGCTACCATTAAACCATTCCTGCTTAACCCTCAACACGTAGCTTTATCTCGTGATTGTAGGAAACTGCTGTACAGCTATACCACTAGCACTTACAGAGCTTCACAGCTATACTCTCTTGGAGGAGAGGCCTTCCCACTGAGTCCCTGGAGCCAGGAGTTTGGTTCAGGGTGGGAATGGACGGTGAGACCCCAACCAAGCTGTGGCAGTTCGTGGGGTCTACGGTGCTTATGGTGTCCTGTGCGGTGCTTATGGTCCTCAGCCTCAGCTAGGAAGCATCGATTGGCAGAGGTACCCAGTTATTGTGCCAGGTGGTCCGTCACAGTAGCAATGGAAGCTACTTTTCCCCTTCTTGTCCCTGAGGGTAGGATAAACAATCTTTCAGACCTCCTTATTGTTAAGACACTTGTAGCGGAGAGGTAGTATAATCCACAGTATCTCTGTTGGGTAACAGGAACAGCATAAAATATTCCAAGGAAATAAATACAGCATACAATAATCCCGCTATCATTTTAAGAATCCTTCCTTCCCAAGAACTAGACGACACATAGGCTGGGAGTCAACTGAGCTTTTAATCACAGGTCACTGTATTTATGGGATTCCCCATGCAAGGGGTTTCCATCCCCTACTGACATTCCAGGGGTGGCACAATAGGGGACTACATGGGGAACTGAACAACACATACATTTCTCCCACCATGCACTGCTGCACGAGAGGGATACTCCCACTAGAATATACCGTTAAGTGGATTATCCCTCTGTGCAGCAGAACTTACATTTCACATTAAAATACATAACTTCCATTAAATTCACTTTATTTAAGGTGCACAGTTCGTGAGAATACTGCTCAGCTCCCAGCCTAACTAACCGAACGCTGCACGCAATACACATTATTTCCAAAACACTGTTAAAGTACCGATTGGTATTAGGGGAACAAACTACCGAACGGCCGGGGCTCCCGAAGGGCCTGGAAGTCCAGCGGTGTTCGCGCCGTCGAGTAGCCGATATTAGTTCCAGGCGCTCGACGGAAAAACACCGCTGGGCTAGCAAAGGATCCAAGATGGCCGACCGCCGCGTGGTCGGTAGCCGAACGACGGCTACCTAGGAAAGCCTTTAACTACCGATTTCAACAATGTTGCAATTGGTTAATGGGCGCCACACGAACTCTTGTGTGTGGTTGATCATTCCGTAGTTTATTCATTTCACGAACAGTGTTGAAACTCACTGTTCGTGAAACTACATTAGGAATGCTGGGATTTTCATACTGCAAGCATACGAACGCCCTCATTCGTCTGAAAGACACATACAGTAGTACACTTGGTTCTCACAGCTGAAACAGGGATATAAACACATTCACTATATGTAGCGGATGGCACTGGGCTGTCCTGGAAATTGCATATGTTTGAATGTATTCGTGTAAATTGCAGGATTATATGTGTATAAATAACTTGTATTCGTCTGATTGTTTGGTAGAATCATTCTAGCAACTAAGGGAATGAAACTACCGAACAGTCAGACCTCACCTGTGTGAAGTGTGCCTTCAATTACCCGTTGCAACAATGTTGAGAATGGGTAATTGACAAGCTGTGCAGTAGGTCCTTTGTTCTCGGGGTGGCCGCCATTCGGGAAACGAACACGTTGCGGCGGCCATTTTAAAACTCCCGAACAGCGGTGTTTTGCCGTCGAGTGTCTGGAACCCAAATCGGACACTCGACTAGGCAAACACCGCTGAGACCTCCATACGCACGATATGTTCGCTTTCAAACTACCGAAAGGCCCCTCGTTCAGTAGAAAGAAACAACCGAACGATTGGGTTCATGCGAACCCTCCCTGATCTCTGTAACCTTAGCCTTTTGTGCAGTTTGTTCCCTTATACTGTGACCGACCGCAGGGCCCCATCGCATGGAACCCAATTCGGCTGTTCTCTCCAGCGCGGTCGGTCTTTTCATTACGTCCACAAATTTCCCGAAACCCTGGTCTGATCTGGGTGATTTTTGGATATGTTGCTCACCCAGATCAGGGCTACCAGGGGATGTGCTATTTAAAGGGAAACCCCTAGGTTTAGGGGTACATCCAGAAACTGGGGGAATTTGTGTACTGTATAAGGGGATTATGAGTCAGGCTGAGGGGAGGAGATGTGTGGGAGGTTACCAGAACAGGATTGGATACTGTACAAATTAATGGAAATCCCTCCCTTGCAATGGGAGCATGCTATATAAGGCCACTGTGGAAATAAAGGTTTAGTTCTGCTCCTGATGCTGGGTGTCGTCCAGTTATTGGGATTGCTGTTGGTATATTGCTATATTGTTTTACCTGCTGGAAACCTTGCTTTATGGATTTATAACTACTTGTTCCTGAGCCTCACTGGGCAGAGATAATTTGTGGAATACTAGATCTCCGCTACACTATATGGCTAGTCTTAAGTGGCTAGTTTTGCCACAACACTCACAGCTTAAATGGGTGAAACAGCCATTTAGTTAATCTTCCCCCTTTCAGAGACACAAACTCTATTGCAGTAGACCGCCAAACTCCCAAACGGAGTATAAGGGAATGCGATAAACCCACGAACAAAGAATCAGCCGAACTCCTTCCACGGCTAAAACAGGCGAAATAATACTTCCAAGTAGCAATCCCCCTAAACACGAGACCAAGCTCCGTCTTGAGGGTAAAACAGGCACCTGCTTTAATGAGGGCTACCTGCCCGGTATTTATGCAGGTCTTCCACCTGGTGGACACTCCCCTAGGGGACCAGATGGAAGACTGGGACATATATCGTACAGTAGCCAATCACAGTGGCTCAGGTTTAAACACTCCCCTTTACACAAGTAAATCCCTCCTCTCTATCCTGGAGATAAATGGGAAGAAATACAATTATCTCCAAGGATAGAGGAAAACCACCATTTTACATGATACATTAAAAATTCAGAAAAATACATAACTATAAAAATACCGAATACATTTGATTTGTGTAACGTATCCCCAGATAGCCTGGATCTGAGCGCACATTACTACCGAATAGCGCTCAGACCCAATGCACACAGTTTAATCGCCATGGAGTCAAAGTCTTTCACATTGTCCTTTCGTTATATGATTGACTCCATGGGATGGCTGTCTGGGTTAAGTCCATTCGTATGATCAAAAGTCCCGAACGGACCGGCGTTCATATGCCCGATAAGAAGGGCGGTCGGTAGTTTCAGCGGTGTTCGGTAGGAAAAAGTGTCCGTTTAGAGTTCCATAAGTTCTTCATGAACACCTCTGTTCATTCGCGTGGTTAAAATGGCCGCCGCCTCGTGGTCGGCATACGAACGACGACCACCCTGCATACGGTTAGAATGAAGAGGTGTCTGCGGTTAACCACAACATTCTAATTGGGGCCAAGAGGTTAACCAGCAGCACACTTCTCTTCTGGGTGGCCGTCCGTTCGGTAGTTTTGTTCGGTATAACTTGCAATAAACGAACAGGGACGTACGGGCAGGTAATTCCATGAACATAAATGAAACAGACCAACCAGCAATTAGTCTTTACACAGATGGATCTGTCACACTTATGTCTTCTGATCTTTTTAAAGATATGCAAATGCATCTCATGACGTCCACATTGCTCAATTTCATTTCTTCTGGAGAAGATGGATTAGGAAGAAATGATGGCAAAACAATTTCTTGTTGCAAATGAAACTGCGTGACCACTTTAGGCAGAAATTATTGAATCAGAACCGCCTTATTGTGGTGAAAAGTAGTGTAAGGTTCTACTGATGAAAGAGCTTGAAGTTCGGACATGCTTCCAGCAAAGGTGACTGCTACGAGGAACAAGATTTTTATAGTTGAGAAGAAAGAAGTTGATCTCTTCCAGAGGTTCAAAAGGCTCTTAAGTCAAGGCCTTTACAACTAAAGGAAGATATCACGGCGGGGATGACTTTTTTAGAGGAGGTCTGATGCGAATGATCACTTTAAAAAAAACAGATTAATAAAGGATCCAAAGCAGACCTTTTGTTTGTCAGGGCTGAAATAGCAGATACCTGGACTTTTAGAGTACTAAGTCCTTTATCTAGACCCTCCTAGCGAAATCCAAAATGGCAGATACTGATGGATTTTAGAAATTATTGCCCTTGACACTGGTCCATTCTCAAAATTTCTCCCATATTCTGTGCTAGTGTGAAGACGTGGAAGATTTCCTTGCCTTCAATAAAGTTTCCTTGATGGATGGAGAAAGCGCTATGACGCTAAGTCGAAGACATAGGGTCTGGGTGAACTGCTGGACCTTGTATGAGGAGATACCATCTTTGAGGAAGAGGCCAAGGTGATTCTTTGCTCAATTTCCTGAGGAGCAGATACCATGGTCTCCTTGGCCATATTGGAATTATCACTATCACCATAATCTTTTCCTGCCATAGTTTTCTCGATACAAGAGAAATCAGAGGAATAGGAGGAACTTCCATGCATCTTGAGCCTCTGTTTGGTTATAATGCCACCTAGAGAAAAGCCTGGGTAGTTGGGCGTTTCTGAATGTTGCCATTAGATCGATCTGTGGCATACCCCACTTCATTGTTATCTTCAGAAACATTTCTCAATTCAAGCTCCATTCTCCCTGTTCAATGTAGGAGGGACTCGGGTAATCTGCCAAGCGATTCTCCTTCCCTGGTGGGTATACTGCTTTCCATGTTTGTATATGACTCTGTGTCAAGACTAAAACCGGTTGTAGGCCGGTCATGACCAATCAAATCCACAGGAGGGTTGTGCTGAGCAGCAATCATGCACATGGAAACCTGGTAATTGCCTTTGGGATCAAAGGCCGGTTACAGCCAATCGGATCCACAGGAGAGGTATTTAAACCTAATTCTCCTCTTGCTCATTGCCCTGTCGTGGTTTCTTGCTAATGGTTATCCGAGAGTACATTCCTGATCTTGATTTTCTGGTATTTGACTTTGTTTTGATTTTCCTGATATCTGGTATGCTTGACTTTTGGCTTTTCCTCATCTTTGTGTCTGATTCTGTGTCCCTGACCTCGGCTAGTATTTTGACTATTTTTGGAGACGTTAAGTCCGGCCGTTCTAAGGTCCGGTTATACGTTATCCTTAGTCCTAGGTGTGACACAGTACTGCGTGCTGGATCAACTTGGAATCCTGACAGTTTGATGCTTTTGGAAACTATTGATTCTCTGACCTTTCCTTGTTTTGGAATCACTTTCAGTTCCAATCTGTATCCTTCTCTTATGATACTCAGAACAGAATTGTTTGAGATGTTGGTGGCCTAAATTGGATAATACTCCTTCACGTGACCCCCTACATATCCAAGTATTGCCTGCCAAGCATCAAACAGATTTGAGGGATGTTTGAAGCCTCTCCCTCTGGGTCCTCTGCTACTAGATGATGCTGTCTGCTTAGATTTCCACTGATATGATCTTGAGAATTCTCTTCCAGGCTTGTAGCATCTATTTTCTCAAAAGGCCCCATCTGTATTTCTTCTGTCCTTCCAAGATATATTGGAAGATTTTCTATAAGGCTGAGGTAAGTTACCCTGTTGTGCTTTTTGAATTGCATCATCAATGATTTTCCAAACAGCAGGTCGCCCTGGAATGGGAGTGCACAAGGGTTCACTTTAGAAGCATAATCTGATCCCCGTGAGTGTAGCCACAGAGCTCTTCTTGAAGCCACACTTAGTGCCGGGCTCTTGGCTAATATTTTAGTAATGTCGAGCGAAGCTTCTGAGGAAAAATCTACAGCCATATCTATTTTATGGATTGAATTCCAAGATTTGGAATTAAAAGGGTAGACTCTAGGAACTTTTACCTGCAAAGATAATCTCTTCTCTGGCTTATTCCATTCTGCTTGAATAATATTCTTGATCGCTGTTAAGGAAAAGAAGTTCTTTGAAAACGTTATCTGACGCTGACATTTTTTACCTCTCCTCTGGAATTCGTAGAGTATCTCGCACCAAAGCAATACGTTTGTCAACTGATCTTCTATCCAGGGTTCTACTCCAGGATTCCACAACTTTTTCTTCTTCCTTTGATCACTCTCAGAATCTGAAAATATTGTGGATGGTTTGGAATATGCATTAGATGCAAACTGGAATCTCTCCGCAATTGCTTGGGAGATCCACTATTTAAGATTAGCTTGTGTGGATCTCTACCTTGTCCTACACTCTGCGACATCTTCCATACAAGGAAAACACAGGTTCATGCCTTCAGAGGTCTTTGAACCACAGCCCATACAGTGGTGAGTCTTCTCTTTCTTTTCTCTAAGAGACATATCAGGTGTCTTCACTGGGCTGAAATGTCATTGCCTTATGATTAATACTTACAGGCCATCACTGCTCTCTTTTAACCCCCAAATAAAAAAAAATTAGAGGTCTCACCATGTTCTTCTATGTTCGCGTATAGGGGAGATGGTAGAAGAAGCTATCTAAGAATTTAAATTAGAAGAATATTGTGATGAACTGGATCTTGCCACAGGTCCCTGGGGGACGGGAGGCATACTTGCTGAAATGTCATTGCCTTATGATTAATACTTACAGGCCGTCACTGCTCTCTTTTAACTCCCAAATAAAAAAAAATTAGAGGTCTCGCCATATTCTTCTATGTTCGCGTATAGGGGAGATGGTAGAAGAAGCTATCTAAGAATTTAAATTAGAAGAATATTGTGATGAACTGGATCTTGCCACAGGTTCCTGGGGGGGTGGGGGGGATACTTGCCAGCCTCTTGCCCTGTGACTATGGCCCCTGTGATAAAACTTGGTTTAAATCACTATTTGTGCATGTTGGGACATGGTGGGACTTATAACAGGAGCCATTCAACTTATAACAGGAGCCATTCGAAGTGCCCTTCGACCACATGGTGGCAGCCATCTTGTTTGTATGGACCAAAACCTCGAATAGACTTCAGGGGGACTTAGCCGCAAATGCCCTGGAACTAACTTTGGCATAAAAACCTTGCAGTTCCCAGTCGGCACTCCAGCGGCACTTAGCCGCAATTCTATGGAACTATTTTCGGCTATGGAACCATAACAATTATGACTTCCATAAAATTTCAGATTTTTTTTATATATTGGTCACTAGAGATGTCGCGAACCGTCCACGAACTTCTCGCGAATGGTTCGTGGCGAACTCCGGTCAGCTGACACATCCCGGCCAATCTCCAGCAGACCCTCCCTCCCAGACCATCCTACTTCCTGGACAGCATCCATGTTGAAGGCAGCTCAACAGGGATTTTATGTGGTTTTAAGGTATTTTGGGGGGGTTGTAAAAATGTGTTTTTTTGTGTTTGGAGATAATTGAGTTTAGTATAGTGCTTGACTCAATTATCTCCTAAGTAAAGGTGAAGGCTTATTGTGTTGTATGTCCATGTGGGTGTCACCCTTGCATGGGGACTTGCATAAAAGGCAAGTGTGCCTACCATCAAACCAGTCTTACTTCACCCTCAATCTAGAGTTCTGTCTCTTATTGTAAGGAACTGCTATACAGCTATCACTACTAGCTCTTGTAAGAGCTTCACAGCTATACTTTCTTGGAGGAGAGGTTCACTCACTGGAACCTGTATCCTGGTCTTGGGTCCAGAGTGGGTGGAAAACCCCAACCAAGCTGCGGCGGTTCGAGGGGTCTATGGTGTCCGGTGCGGTGCTTATGGTCCTCAGCGTCAGCTATGAAGCATCTATTGACGGAGGTACCCAGTTGGGGGGCCAGGCGGTCCGTTACCAATATAATCAGAATTCTGAAGCTGATTAAAAATAAATAATAAAAGATTACCTGAAAACTGTCAAAATAATGCTCAAGCAGCTATATTTTAGCAGAGAGGATAAATTTCAGACCAACGCCAAAAAAACCCGCTCCAAAATATATTTTTAAAAAAGTGTATTTTCATTTAAGAAGATCCCGGCTGCGCGCATGTGCTGTAGAAATTTGGAGCGGGCGTCCAGTAGCCCAGCAGCTGCAAAGTCTAGACGGGGAAGAAAGACAGAGCTACCTTTTCATTGCAGATGAGATAATCAGAACCTCTCTTCACAAAAAGGAAACTGGAAACAGTGGCCATTATGAGTCCCTAAGACAAAAAAGCCCTAAAGGTCCTAATAAATAGATTGCTTCCCCCCTTACCCTGCAGTTGAGGGGAATTACAGAAGACTGCTGCTCCACGCTGTATCCAGGTACAATCCATTATTGTATATTGTAGGATTGTTGAACCAGTTAGTCCAGCCCATTGCACCCATGCGTTAAGACAATCCTGCCAGTTAGTCCTGCCCATTGCACCCATGCGTTAAGACAACCCTGCCAGTTAGTCCTGCCCATTGAACCATACTCGCCTTCAAGATTTCTCGAGGGCTGCACCTGTGGAACTCTCTTCCCTCCTCCGTTAGATGCTCACCCAATCTCCACTCCTTCAAAAAATCGTTAAAAACCCACTTCTTCATAAACGGATATCAATTAAACTGTTACTAGCTCCTGACTGATTCCTCTTCTGCAACTGTCACTAGTCTAATTCTATCCTTACCTTTTTGTGTCATTTTACCTCACTCCCACTAGCATGTAAGCTCATTGAGCAGGGCCCTCAACCCCTCTGTTCCTGTGTGTCCAATTTGCCTGGTTACAACTACATGTCTGTTCGTCCACCCATTGTAAAGCGCTGCGGAATTTGATGGCGCTATATAAATATCATAATAATGCCAGTTAGTCCTGCCCATTACACCCATGCGTTAAAGCAGCCCTGCCAGTTAGTCCTGCCCATTACACCCATGCGTTAAAGCAGCCCTGCCAGTTAGTCCTGCCCAGGCAGGCTGTTTGCTGGTTCCTTCAGGGGAGAAAGGATGAACCCCCCCATGGTAAAAAAGGTAGGTGACACCTAAAACAAAATCAGTATATACAGGTAAATAAACTATCCTGCCTGTCAGCTGGGACTGGAACAAAAGACTGGGGCGCTCGAGGGGAGGGATCCTTTATAACAGAGGTCCATTCATTAATCAATGAATTATTCCTGTCCTGACAGCTGGGGAGGAGCTTTACCCCTACGTGATGCTCCATGTTTACTAGTTTGTGACATTCTGAGGAGAGCTGTCCGTGCTGGCATTCTGTGACTTTGTGTGACATGCTGTGTGCCAGAGTTTGCCATTTTCTGCTCTTTTCTTGATAATTAATTGATGTTGCTAAACTCTTTCTACAGGTCACTAATTACAATGGGCATTCTGACTGCGACTGGCTCGGCCTGTGCCGGTTACATTATGAGCATGGCAGTGCTGAGTCCGTGCCCGCCTCTCCTACAAACCAACATTGGGGGCACATTAATGGTAAGTACTGTGAAAGCTGTAAGAGACGGGTCTCCCTGCCCAGTGCTGCCCAACTCTGGCATGGAGAGCACCTTCCTAGCCTCTAGTTATTGTAGACAGTCTAATATCTGACATTGGAATAAATACTTGGAAAATAAATGATTTTGGGTTGTTGATATTATTCATGCCATATCTTTTTTATCTTGCATTCACAATAAAAATAGTTTTGGAACAAAAATAAAAAGAAATGAATTTGGTTACACTACACACTCAGACAAAGCTCTGCACCATTGAAGTTGATGCTTTTTCGTATTCAAAGTGTTTGCAGCTTGCCACCCTCCTCTGCTTCGACACAGAGAGAGTTCACTTAGCGAGAGCGCTGCCGTGCTGCATGTTGGGGAAAAACGAATGAAACCATGGCAGGATGAACGTGTGTAGTAAGATCCATCACCGTGCACACTGCGGACGTGGTGAACAGGTGCAGCAGGTGTGGCGTAGAGGGCGAGGTTTGAGTTAGTTACACTCTCTAATCAGATCTCCACGTGTGTCTAGACCGGAGACAAATATTATGCTTATTGTCTCTTTCCTAATAACAGAAAAATACAACAAAAGAAACTCAATGTAAGAAGTCTAGCCGAGGCACCATAAAACTGCCGTCCTGGTGGTTATGATGTCATTAGGTTGCTTCATGCAGTCTGACTAAATTTTGTGTGTCCTTGAGGCATCCACAACGCAGCCCCGGCTTGTCACCATTGCTCATAATATTTTAAAGCTTTTCATTGGCTGAGTGTGTCAGCTGACCTGCACAGTGTTTGAAGAAGATGGCGAATTCAGAATAATGGCACCATAACCACCACAGCAGTATGCGGTTTATATAGCGCCAATGTAGTATTAATATTGTAAATAAGCTGGCACTACATAAATGATAATAATATGCATCCTATATTCCTACCTAAAATCTGTCTTCTCTTACTGCATTAGGCAGTCATCTTGTGTGCGTGTGTAAATATATTCACTGATCAGCCACAACATTAAAGGACCACTCTAGGCACCCAGACCACTTCAGCTTAATGAAGTGGTCTGGGTGCCAGGTCCTTCTAGGGTTAACCCATTTTTTTTATAAACATAGCAGTTTCAGAGAAACTGCTATGTTTATGAATGGGTTAAGCCTTCCCCTATTTCTAGTGGCTGTCTCATTGACAGCCACTAGAGGCGCTTGCGTGCTTCTCACTGTGATTTTCACAGTGAGAGCACGCAGCGTCCATGAAAAGCATAAAATGCTTTCCTATGATATGGGCTGAATGCGCCGCATTCAGCCCAGGAGAGGAGGCACGTTTAACCCTTTCCCCTTTCCAGAGCCGGGCGGGAGGGGTCCCTGAGGGTGGGGGCACCCTCAGGGCACTATAGTGCCAGGAAAACGAGTATGTTTTCCTGGCACTATAGTGGTCCTTTAAACCATTGACTCCTGTCACGGGGTGGGATATATTAGGGAGTAAGTTAAGTCAGTTCTGGAATTTCATGAGTTGGCAGGAGGAAAAATGGGCAAGGGAAAAGATCTGAGTGACTTTGACAAGAGCCGAATAATGATGGCTATTGTCAGACCATCTCCAGTGCGGCAAGTCTTGTGGGGTATGGCTGATCCGTGTATATATATTCTATTTATGTAACAGGTGTACTCAGTACACTCAGTTCCTCAATTTACATTATGTTGGATAAAGTGGAAATAAAGTGCTGAATATAGTATTTTAAAAAGCCAAGTATATCATCGATTTGTGATATTTTTGAAGTGATATTTCTGAAACGATATTGATCAGTTCTTGATTAAGCCTCTAATGGAAGTAATGTAATCAATTCAAACTGACAAAAGGCTTATTGGGAGCCAATAAACATGATCAGCCCCCTTTCTTACATTTTAGTTTCCCGCCCCCTTTCTTACGTTCTAGTTTCCTGCCCCCTTTCTTCCGTGCTAGGTTCCCGCCCCCTTTCTTACGTTCTTCATTCCCGCCCCCTTTCTTTTGTGCTAGTTCCTCGCCCCCTTTCTTTCGTTCTAGTTCCCCGCCCTCTTTCTTACGTTCTTCATTCCCACCCCCTTTCTTACAGTCTAGTTCCCGCCCCTTTCTTTCGTTCTAGTTCCACACCCCCTTTCTTTTGTTCTAGTTCCCCGCCCCCTTTCTTTTGTTCTAGTTCCCGCCCTGTTTCTTACGTTCTTCATTCCCGCCCCCTTTCTTACAGTCTAGTTCCCGCCCCTTTCTTTTCGTTCTAGTTCCCGCCCCTAGTTCCTGCCCCTTTCTTACATTTCAGTTTCCTGCCCCTTTCTTCCGTTCTAGTTTCCCGCCCCCTTTCTTACATTCTAGTTCCCCGCCCCCTTTTTTTATGTTCATTCCCGCCCCCTTTTTTTACGTTCTTCATTCCCGCCCCTTTCTTATATTCTAGTTTCCCACCCCTTTCTTACATTCTAGTTTCCCGCCCCCTTTCTTACGTTCTTCTTTCCCGCCCCCTTTCTTTCGTTCTAGTTCCCCGCCCCCTTTCTTTCGTTCTAGTTCTCCGCCCCCTTTCTTACATTCTTGTTTCCTGCCCCCTTTCTTACATTCTACTTTCCCGCTCCCTTTTTTACGTTTTTGTTTCCCGAACACTTTCTTATGTTCTAGTTTCCCGCCCCCTTTCTTACGTTCTAGTTTCCCGCCCCTTTTCTTACGTTCTAGTGTTCCGCCCCCTTTCTTATGTTCTAGTTTCCCGAACCCTTTCATACATTCTAGTTAGATGTACAGTATCTGCCGCAGACCTGCTTCAATATTAAGTGATGACAGAAGTTGATTTTTTTTTTGATTTCCTAAATCTGGAAAGTTGGGAGAGAGATATCCACCGATTGTAGGAGATGTACGAGAATTGAGTCATTTATTACACGTGAGTTTACAGAGGAAGAGGTTCTATTTCAACTGTCAAAAGTAAAGACAAATAAGTCAATGGGACCTGATGGAATACACCCAAAGCTATTAAAAGAGCTTAGTGGTGTACTAGCAAAACCATTAACAGATTTATTTAACCAATCATTGTTAACAGGAGTAGTCCCAGAAGATTGGAAGTTAGCGAATGTTGTGCCCATTTACAAGAAAGGTAATAGGGAGGAGTCGGGCAACTATAGGCCAGTAAGCCTTACTTCAGTAGTGGGGAAAGTGATGGAAACCATGTTAAAGGATAGGATTGATGAACATCTAAAAACACATGGATTTCAAGATCAGAGACAACATGGGTTTACTTCAGGGAGATCATGCCAAACTAATCTTATTGATTTTTTTGATTGGGTAACTAAAATTATAGATCAGGGTGGTGCAGTAGACATTGCTTACCTAGATTTCAGTAAGGCTTTTGACACTGTTGCACATAGAAGGCTTATCAATAAACTGCAATCTTTAAGTTTGGATTCCAATATTGTTGAATGGGTAAGGCAGTGGCTGAGTGACAGGCAACAGAGGGTTGTAGTTAATGGAATATATTCGAAGCTTGGACTTGTCACCAGTGGGGTACCTCAGGGATCTGTACTTGGACCCATTCTCTTTAATATTTTTATTAGTGATATTGCAGAAGGTCTTGATGGTAAGGTATGTCTTTTTGCTGATGATACTAAGATATGTAACAGGGTTGATGTTCCAGGAGGGATAAGCCAAATGGCAAATGATTTAGGTAAACTAGAAAAATGGTCAGAGTTGTGGCAACTGACATTTAATGTGGATAAGTGCAAGATAATGCATCTTGGACGTAAAAACCCAAGGGCAGAGTACAGAATATTTGATAGAGTCCTAACCTCAACATATGAGGAAAGGGATTTAGGGGTGATTATTTCTGATGACTTAAAGGTAGGCAGACAATGTAATAGAGCAGCAGGAAATGCTAGCAGAATGCTTGGTTGTATAGGGAGAGGTATTAGCAGTAGAAAGAGGGAAGTGCTCATGCCATTGTACAGAACACTGGTGAGACCTCACTTGGAGTATTGTACACAGTACTGGAGACCGTATCTTCAGAAGGATATTGATACCTTAGAGAGGGTTCAGAGAAGGGCTACTAAACTGGTTCATGGATTGCGGGATAAAACTTACCAGGAAAGGTTAAAGGATCTTAACATGTATAGCTTGGAGGAAAGACGAGACAGGGGGGATATGATAGAAACATTTAAATATATAAAGGGAATCAACACAGTAAAGGAGGAGACTATATTTAAAAGAAGAAAAACTACCACAACAAGAGGACATAGTCTTAAATTAGAGGGACAAAGGTCTAAAAATAATATCAGGAAGTATTACTTTACTGAGAGGGTAGTGGATGCATGGAATAGCCTTCCAGCTGAAGTGGTAGAGGTTAACACAGTAAAGGAGTTTAAGCATGCGTGGGATAGGCATAAGGCTATCCTAACTATAAGATAAGGCCAGGGACTAATGAAAGTATTTAGAAAATTGGGCAGACTAGATGGGCCGAATGGTTCTTATCTGCCGTCACATTCTATGTTTCTAATTGTTTCCTCATTTTTACTTGTGTTTCTTTTTGCAGGTTCTTGGCTGGGTGCTGTTTGTTGGGATTCTATCCTATGTTAAAGTCATCATTGGGATAATTCTTCGGGATGAAGGACACAGTGCCCTTGTGTGGTGTGGGGCTGTAGTGCAGCTTGGCTCCATGTTAGGTGCCCTCACTATGTTTCCCCTTGTTAATGTCTATAATGTTTTTCACTCAGGAAACCCATGCCACCACAACTGCCCCTCGTAAACCACAACTACAGCCAGAAAGCACAGCAGATAAAACACTGTATCCAGAGGGACTGTATTGAGAACCTGGAGGAGTTATATGGAGTAATAGGAGGAGTAATAGGGAGAGTAATAGGAGTTATAGGGAGGTTATATGGAGTAATAGGAGGAGTAATAGGGAGAGTAATAGGAGTTATAGGGAGGGTTATATGGAGTAATAGGAGGAGTTATATGGAGTAATAGGAGGAGTTATATGGAGTAAAATCAGGAGTTATAGGGAGGGTTATATGGAGTAATAGGAGGAGTTTTAGGGAGTAAAAGGAGGAGTTATAGGGAGGGTTATATGGCGTAATAGGAGGAGTTATAGGGAGTAATCGGAGGAGTTATATGGAAGGTTATATGGCATAATAGTAGGAGTTATATGGAGTAATAGGAGGGTATAGGGATAGTTCTATGGAGTAATAGGAAGAGGTATAGGGAGGGTTATATGGCGTAATAGGAGGAGTTATATGGAGTAATAGGAGGGTATAGGGATAGTTGTATGGAGTAATAGGAGGAGTTATAGGGAGTAAAAGGAGGAGTTATAGGGAGGGTTATATGGCGTAATAGGAGGAGTTATATGGAGTAATAGGAGAAGTTATAGGGATAGTTCTATGGACTAATAGGAGAAAAAAATGTATTACATTTTATTGCACCAATTACAAAACAGTGCTCAGTGTATCAAAAACATTTACAAAAGTTGAATTAAAAGCAAAATGTCACATCTATATTTTCCCAGTAATCTGTAATTCGTTCTTTTACATATACATCTTTTATATCTTTAATTATCCGATTAATTACACAATCATCGTTAAATGTATTTGTTTTGGTGATTTTTAGACACTTAGCATGCCAAAAATTATATATTACAATAAAATTAATTACATATAAAGTGCATTTGTTAATCTTATCTGCCCATTTGAAATCTCCATATAACAATTCAGCATATACTGTATATATATATTTGTGCTTGGAATTTAATACGTAATGGATAGTATCTGTAAGGACAAAGTTGGTTGTGGTGTGCCGAAACCAACGTACGAGTGGGCCTGTAAATAAAAGAGGGCAAAAGAGAAGTTCAAGAAAATACACACTTTATTGCCTTTTTTACATAACCAAGTTCCTGACAGCTTGACGAAGCTCTTTTTCTGGTCGTGGTATATATGTATGATATATGGAGGATTTCCAACGACCCAGTCTCTTGATGATGTGGACCGGGGTGTTTGTGCTAGAGGCTGATGAAGCGGTTCCTATGCGGAAGGAGTGCCCAGAGAATGAAGCCGGATTGTAACTCAGTTTAGATAGTAACGATCTGCCGTGTGCCGTGAATTTAGCGGGTGCCCTTGTAGTGATAAGAGCGGAGAGTCTGGTAAGTGCACGTGATGGGTTGACCTGAGGTGGTCTAGCGCCTTGACCGGACACCAGGCGTTAACGGTAGGAAAGAGAGGAATGATGGTGGGGTGTTGTGAGTAATTCGTTTTAGTTGATGGGAGCGTGAGTACATAGTGATCTTCTACCTTAGTGAGGTGTGAAGCTTTGAGGCTGTGCGTGATATCCCCTTGGCAAACAACGGTGAACTCTCTGAGTCTGAGAAAACTGTAGAAAGCAAGATAGATAGCAGATTTAATAACCAGGTTTGTGTTGGGATCGAACAGGGATTCATCAAGTAGATTGCTGAGTGCTCTAAAGATAGGCCCATCTATAGGCAGTCTTCTGGTGGTGAGTGGAACGGAAACCTTTAATATACCTTTCAAGACCTTTTTAATGGGATATGATGACAAGAAGGGGGTATTGTTAGGAAAATTGGTGAGGCTGTGTTGCTGAACCCCGGTGAGGTAAAGTTTAATGGTGTTGTGAGAAAGTTTAAGATATAAGTGGCAGAAAGAGGCAAAAGCCACCATGGTTTGTGTAGAAAAATCACCTTGTAAACCGAATTCTGCAGTGAATTTATAAAAAATGGTAAGTGCCCTATTGTAGGAGATAGCTATGTTAGGTGATAGTGCTTGGTGAGTGAGAGTCCTAGCATGGTGCATTAGTGTGCTCAATCCAGGATTGAGCCGTAGGGAGTGCCTGGAAGAATACCTGGAATTGAGAGCGAGAAATAGCATTAGCGGCTGTGTTGTGGATACCTGGGATGTGAAAACAAACTAAGTGAAACTGGACGGTTGCTGCGAGCCAGGTCAGCTTGCGAATCAGCAGCATGATGGAAAGTGAAGATGAGCGCCCCTTGTTTATGATATTGCAAACCGCTGAGTTGTCAGAATAGCATTTTACTGCCTTGCCGGACCAGAGATGACCTCAGGTGTGTGCGGCTGCCACAATGGGATAAATTTCGAATAGGGCTGAGGTCTCCCTGAATCCTGGCAAGGCATCCGCCTCAGCGGGCCAGTGACCCCTGAACCAGTGGTTCCCGAAGATGGCTGCGAAACCAGTGTTGGCTGCAGCGTCTGTGTGAATGATGGGTGAAGAAATGGAGAGAGGGGGGATAAACATGGAGATACCGTTCCAATCTGCCAAAAACTTCCCGCACGTAGCTAAGTCAGCCTTGGTGTGGGGGTCCAATGAAACTGGGCAGGAGTCCAGTACCCCATGGAGCAGGCAGAGAAGCCTGGATATAAATGACCTTCCCTGCGGAATGATGCACATGGCGAAGTTAAAGGATCCCAGAAAGGACTGAAGTTCCCTTTTGGTGCATATGTCACTCCGCAGGAACATGTCTATCTGCCCCTCTCAAGCGGATCAGTTTGTCGTGGGGAAGGCTAGCTCGGAGGGTAACAGAGTCCAGCTCTATCCCCAAAAAAGATAGTTTAGTTGTGGGGCCGATAGTTTTTGATGGGGATAATGGTACACCAAGTGTGGAGAAAAGTGCTGAAGTACTGTGGATAGCTGTGGGTGTTTGTGCCCCTGGTTCTATCAGTAAGAAGTCGTCTAAGTAATGGATGACAGAGTGACATCTGAGGATGTTCAGAAGCAGCTAGCAAAGAGTCTCAGCAAAAATATCAAACAGTTTGGGGCTGCTTCGAGAATCGAAAGTGAGTCGTGTGGAAAAGTAGTACTTTTCTCGCCATTTAACACCGTGAGTGAGGGGTACATGGGTAGTAATTTGAAAGTGTTTGTGATGTCCGTTTTGCTGAGCCAGGGGCGACTACCAGTTGAGATAATGGCTTGTATGGCGTCATCAATTTTTACGTACTGAAGTGAGAATTCGTCTGTGGGTATGAGTGCGTTAATGCTGGGAACAAAAGAGGAGTGCGGTGCTGATAAATTGATATTTAGCCATTTTTTATTAGAATACTTGTGAACTGCGATACCGATGGAATTAGTGCGCCATGAGGAAAACGGTGAGGAGGTGAAGGGGCCGATCATGAAACCGCTTGAAACTTCGGAGGAAAGGATAGTGTCTGTGAAAACTGGATCTTGGCAAGAGGTTGGGACACTCCAGTGTGCCTGAAGGGATGGCTACAAGACCCGTGAAGAAACCCTGTGTGAACCCCTTAGTCAAATACTCCACCAGATGCCTGCTAGGGTGTGTACTTAGGTAAAAAAACAGGTTGTCGACATTGATGTTGGTTAGTCACTTGTTAGGGGACAACCTGGCCGGGCACATGGTCTTGGTATGTGCCCTAAAGCATATGGAGCAGATGTGCAACAATCTACAGGCGCTGAAACTGCGTTGAAATTATTGCACACCTGAGCTCTACCCAGCTTATCCCGCTGATTTACTGCGAGGGGTGAAAGTGGGATGAGGGGTGGGAGTGGAGGTGGTAGGATGGGCTTCAGAGGGGCATAAGTCTGCCGTATGAGATGTAGAATTACATACGGCACAAGACGGGGGCCTGAGACCAGCGAAGTGGCAACAGAATAATTCTGTATCCATCTGACACCAGTTAATTCTGACATTAAACTGTTTCAGATGGGTCGCCGCCTTCGCTGATACCGACTTATGATAATCGTAAAAAGAGGAGCCCCCGTACTTGATGCCTAAATCCACCACCTTCTGGAGATAGAGGTCTAGCTCTTCTCTTCTGTGGGGATACACCGTGCAGATGACATCACGGTATATCCCGAAGGCTATCACAAACTGAGGGATGGATAGTTTCTTGTTAAGCCTAGGGTCTCTAGTCTTAAGCACCACTGAGATGTCCCCGTAATTGTATGCTCTGTTCTCCAGTACGTCTTGGGAGGCTATGAGCAGAGACACCAGTCACACATCCTTCCTGTCTAGGATTTCTTTCCTGATGGAGTCTGGGACTGAGTGAGCTGGTGACTCGAAAGGAGATATAGCTGTTGCTGGCGCTGGGGAGGGGAGTGTGGGGGGGCATGGTGGTACAGCAGGGATTGCCGGGGTGGAGGCTGGGAGGCCTGGGGTTGTAGCGGATGGCACCAGGCGACCCTACAAAAATACTGTATAAAGCTGCATCCGTGTATCTGCTGTATTTTCTGTGTATTTAAAAAGAATTGTATTCCTCTGATTGTTCGGTAGTTTCATTCCCTTAGTTTATTCGAATGAAACTACTGAACAACCAGACCTCCCTGTGTGAACTGTGTCCTCAATTACCCGTTGCAACA